GGAGCTGCAGTCCTATCAGAAGGCTGGAAATGCATGGATGCGTCCTGATCCCCTCCAGTTTAAAGAGTTTGTCCAGCCGGAAACGCATTAGTGTCCACTCTGACTGAAAGAAACAGAGTTAAACTGCAGGATTGATGAGATAGGAGTGGGTCTAGTCAGTGTGTGTGTGTAGGACAGAATCTAATTGCAGAGAAACACCAGACAGTCCAGCACTAGCAAACAATAATCAAACAAACAGAGATCTGACAGATGGAGACAAACAACAGGCCTGTGAATGGGATTCAGATTCAGACTGTGGGCTGAATGTGTCCACAGGGAGAGCCAAACAACCAATCAGAAGCAAGGAAAAATTTAATTAAAATGTAGAAACGCAAACAAAATTAAATTTAATTTTAAAAACAAAACAAAAACTGACTTTTAAAGCTGTGTGAGGTTTAGTGTCAACGAGAATAACATTAGCTCAATCTAAAACAAAAGAGGGTGCATCTAAAAATTGAACATGCATATGCAAATGAGCTGATGTTTAAAAAGAGCGTGCGTATGTGTGTGTGTAATTACAGTATAGGATAAAACTGACTAGAGCTCGTTATATTACCGCACACACACTTCATAATGCAGTATTATTACATGATGTTGTTTATACAGTGTAATTGAACAACAGTGTACCCAAAGCTGGAGTTCAGAGTTGAACAAACCCCGTATGAAGATCTGTGCAGCAAGCGGCCAATCACAGGGCGAGAGTCAGTTTGATCAATTTCTCGCGAGAGTCAGCAAAACTCGTGTCTGTAGGAGGTAAAGAGATTTTATCAGGAATAAAATGCATTTAAACGCAATTGTTTTCGTGTAAAAGGGAAAACTTTTCACTGCACATTGGTCCAGTTCTTCTAGAATACAGCATATCTTTATACAACCGAGGTAAAGTTGTTCATTTTTCAACAGGGACAACTTGCGACACGCTCCCTATATTGTTTACCACGCTAACTTACCTTGAGTCTGAAATCACATGTACGTACTTCAAAACAACATTTGCGCTATTTTATAAACTGTGAACAATGTTGTACGTTGATAAACATTGGCTGCTAATTATTTCCATATTCAGAATACGAATTACCATGTTTGTAAACATCCAGGATGCGCGCGCAGCGAGGTGGCAACAGGTAGCGCTGGCATTTTCAGTGAGGGAGTGACATCCAATGCGATACAGTTCGTTGTTGTCATAGAGGAAAGTTATATTGATTACATATTATATATCTATATCTACAGCTACTGAGAGCATTATGTGTGTATGAATCGTGAACTGTTGATTATTAAATCTAATCTGCACTTTAAAGGAAACATATTCTCACACGCAGACAAAAAAAACATTTACATTCAGCACATATTCGACAGTTTTATGTAAATTGTGTTAGAGTACTAATGTTCACAACAAATGATTACAATGAATATAAATGCATTCATCATTTCCAGTTTACAGTTGTGGAACAGCTGCTGCTGGTTTTCTAAGAATGTGATGTTTATGAGGAGGACACTACACAGACATTAAGAGGCAGTCAGTAATTCATCTCTCTACAAGTGTAGTAAAGTGGAATAGGTCAACACTGCCCTCTGCTGGAAACTGAATTTATAGTAAAAACATTATAATTCGATAAGCAGTTCTGAAAACAGTATACCTTTATACAAGCTATATTTTTTTAATTTCTCATTTATTAGCACGATTAAATAAAACAAATGACAATTAAATTGTGTAAATGATGTATTTAAATGTAGATAACTGCTGAACACTTGAATATATGGGCTGCTTTTGTGTTATAAATGTACAGTATCTGTCCATATCCATCTTTCTCTATCTATCTATCTATCTATCTATCTATCTATCTATCTATCTATCTATCTATCTATCTATCTATCTATCTATCTATC